TACCAAATGACCATGTCAGAGTGTTACATTCACTTGTGACAATAGTAGTTCTTCATTTAAACCGATCAGTCCTTCATATTGCTGTTTAAAAAAAGCAAAGGAACATTACTTCCATAGAACTGTGTAACAACCAAACATTTAAATTACAACCAATAATTATCTGCCATTAATTGGAAGAAGAAAATCATGGAAAATATACAGCCTATGTTTATAGAAAACAAAAAGGACAAATAGAGATCATTTCAGTTAAAGTTATATTGATTAATAGCTCACTGCTTTTCCAATGAAGAGTTCTTTTGAATGCTGGTCCATGTTCTTCTCTATTTGATTTAGTTAACAATGGCATTTTATAGACATTTTCTTTCCACACCTTCACAACCACAAAAAATCTGCTTGCATTGACAACACAAATTTGGCTCCATGGGATATTAGTTTTTATGTTTCTTGAGACTTGGACTCAAAACAACAATGGAAAGTAGCAGGTAGTGTCCTAGGGGAACATTGTACTCTGGAATCATCTAACATAATTACCGTAACTTCTAATTAATATATGTTGTTACAATTGTGAAGAAAGGTATATGAAATTAAGAGAGTTTTATGGTTTAAAATTATGTATATTTAAGCTTCTTTAATGTTCAATTTGTGAGTGGTTATAATATTTTACATAAGATTTAATCAATAATATATGTGTATACATATACATACATATACATACACATACAAAAACATGCACAGATACATTGTAAGCCGCCCCGAGTCCCCACTGGGGAGATGGTGGGGGGGGGGGTATAAATAAAGATTTATTATTATTATTATTATTATTATTATTATTATTATTATTATTATTCACATTTGCATGTTTTCAAATGGCTAGGTGGTAGAAGCTGGGGCTAACAGCAGGAGCTCACCCTGCTCACCAGATTCAAACCACTGACCTTTTGATCTGCAAGTTTAACCTGTTAATTGCTAAATAAACATGTCAAATGTATGGGAGGTGTTAAAGGCTGAAATTGTAAAATGGAGAAGATTAGCAAGCAGCTCATTTTGGTATACCATCCCAACTGTGCTTGAATGGCTGATGCACTTTCCAATGACCTATATAGACACTTTTGGAGCCTTAGAGGATTATTTATGAATTGCAGTTCTTTCAATCGTCAAGTATTGCATCACTTAAACAGTTGATAATATAATAGGCACAATTGTACATTATTGATTTTTCACTAAACCTCTTTTATTCCTTTAGTGAGTGTGTTATTGTTCACACAGTAGTAGACATTTTATCATTAAGTGGAGAGTATTCCTCAAATTTCTCTCCACATGTATTTTCCTCTCTCAGTCTCTCTCTCAATTTTCCCATCTGTCTCTCATTCATTCCCCCATTTTTTTTCACTTAGTTCCTGTTTCAGTGGGTCAGAGTTGTTGAGAGCATTGGCTGGAGCTATTAAACTGACTTTTTATTTTGAGGTGAATTTTTTTTGTCGTGTCAGGAGTGACTGCAAGTCGCTTCTAGTGTGAGAGAATTGGCCGTCTGCAAGGACGTTGCCCAGGGGACGCCTGGATGATTTGATGTTTTTATCATCCTTGTGGGAGGTTTCTCTCATGTCCCCGCATGAGGAGCTGGAGCTGATAGAAGGAACTCATCCGCCTCTCCCCGGATTCGAACCTGCGACCTGTCAGTCTTCAGTCCTGCCGGCACAGGGCTTTAACCCACTGTGCCACCTGGGGCTCAATTTTGAGGTGATGGGAATGGGGAAGAATGCTTTAGACTTTGAACACAAAGGCCAGCCTGCAGCAAAATATGTTCCTATACCCATTGCTGGGCTACTTCAGTTATCTCTTAAACTTTAGTGCAAAAATTCCACATGCCATGTAAACTACATTGATGCAGCAAAATCTATACACACAATAAAAGTAAAAATGTGTGTATGTGGTGGAGGTTTCCACTTACACAGGCAGCCCCCCACCTCCATAAAAAGGCAATACTTATAAGTGCTGAGAAGCCTCCAAAGGCACTCCCTCAACTGACATTGTAGGTTATAGCGAGCACCACGAAAATGTAGCCCAATTGCTGTCAATGTCCTCCCCAAACACTATGGTCCACCACTCAAGAAATGCTTTTATTTGGGGAGAATTTCATCCTTGATTTCACAAGTTTCCTCCACCACAGGCAGGCATCCCAGGGTTCCTTGTGTGGAATTTGCATGACCCCACCCATTGCCTCTCCCTTCATTCTTTTCTACTCTTTCCTCTGGCTCACAGCAAATACAGAGAAATTGATCAGTAACTGAACAGACTGGAGGGGTTTTGAGGACTGACTCAACAGGATGGAAGTTGTAGTTCACCTTGCATCAAGGCAGAGCACTGTGACCCCCTTTGATAATAGACCTGGACCACAATTGGCATGCAGAACTCCCATGAGTAGGTTTGGGGAAATTGATCTTGTACATTGTTATGTATTTTCTAATGGGAGCATTCATAAAAAAAACTCAATGACTGGCTTTTTCCTAATAAATCGTGTTACTAATTTACTAAATGATATTACCTAACACCACAAAACAAACAATGTACTGCCGGGTACGCAAAGCTTGTATACACATAAAAAGATATGAGAAAAAATTACAGCAAGATACTTAGAGAGAATACTGAGCTTTAGGGTTCATCTACACCTATACCAAGACCTTAGGACCAGTCTGGACCTGCCAAGCCCCAGATGAGACACAGCTATTCAGATGCTCTATCTTCAACCTTCAGCAGTGCCAAAATCCAGATGGCTCAGTCTGTCAATGGCCCTGATCCATACCCTTTTTCCTTGTGCAACTGAGTGCAAGGAAAAGGAAATGATGGTTGTGAGCCATCTGGACAGCAGACCAGTTCGTTTTGGAGCCAGTCTGCTGCCACACTCACTTCAATGAAACTCCAGAGCATTCCCTGACTTGGCTCAGCCTAACTTACCCTTCATTAATAACTGGATGTCCCCGGGCATCATCTAGACATCCAGGTTGACTTTTGTTCCACTTTTGGGTAAAGTCTAGTGTAAACAAGTTCATATTTTTCAAGTAGAAATTCTAAAAATCTATAGTTTCACGGCTTTACTGCTGAAATTTGTAGATCATATTTTATGATATGGAATGAAGGAGGCATGGAGGATATAGTACTTCTCTGATATATCAAATATTATGAATCTATTTAAATATATTAAAAATGTTTCTGATAGAGAAGCCTTCGTGTTTTAGTCATGGACAGACTTTTTCAACCTGCTTTGAATTGCTCAACAGCATTTATTATTGCCTTCTTATTGAAAATTGTGAAAGTTTGTGAAGATTGCTCAATTATATACATGCTGACCTGGGTGAAGAAGAGATAAGACAGAACAGAATTCAACACTTCACAAGGACACAGTTTCATGATGTGTTGGACTTCTGTCATTCTGAAATAGCAAGCATAATGGAGAAAAATCCAGGCTGGTGGAAGGCTTGTAAGCAACAGAAAGAATAGGTTTGATGGTGTATATAATAAAATATGGCTTTAAGGATTAACAGTGATAGGATCCACAATGTTCTTAGGAAATGCCATAGTCTGTTCTCAAAATGAATGAATCAGAGACCATTCCACCAATGAAATGTTTCCTTTATTAGTGTCAATGGCAATGAATTCTTCTTCCAGTTTGCACAGCTTAATATTACTGACTTAATTTTCAAGTCCAGTGTTCCAGACTTCAAGCATTATAGTATGAAATGATTCCAACAACATAAAATCTAGTATATGAGATAACTGAGACAGGTTCTATTTTTTCTTTCTCACATACAAATAAAAATAACTAATCATTACACAGAAATAATAAAATAGATTTCTATGGAAGAACACAGTGAAATGGATACCTTTGCAACAACAGTATTGACCTCTTTGATTCTCATGTCATAAATAACAGGAGTCCATAGTTTTATGCCATGAATCTAATGAGTTAAGCCACTGCTGGTTCACAGACTGAGCGTGACTGATCAAGAACCATCACCAAGTAATGAGAATCCATATGCTACCTGTGTCTGTCTACATGTACAATATTCCTGGGTGCACTTCTCTTACCATCACACATTCATTGAGTTCTGTGGGAGACCGTAGCCTCCTTTATGCATTGTAATTAGCATTTAGAACATCAAAGATGATGTGAGATGGGTAGCCCTTATTAAACATGATTAGACAATTCAAAGTTATAGTCTATAGGCATCTATAAATGTAGTTCATGAGGGAAAATGGCTGAAGTTCTGATCTCAGGTATCTCAGTATCTGAGATTCTTAAACTAAGTTCTTCACTCCTTTCAAAAATATTCCACATTAAGGATTTTTTCCCCTTTCTCACACACAAATAAAAATAACTTAATCATATAAGGTACTTCCAGACAAGACTAAAACTTGTGCCAAAGTGGGTTTAATAAACCAGCTTCGGCGTGCGTTTGAGTCCCCACTGCACCCCCCCCCCCAAAAAAAAAGGCTTTCCTGGGGAGGGTGACTACATGCCATCTCGAAGCTACCAAAATAACTCCTAAAAATAAAAGAAAACTTTCCTGGCTGCCATTATGTTTCTCCTCACACCCTCACAGCACAAGGAAATGATGTATCAGAAGACCGGGAGTGGGGGTTGGCAAGTTTTATTTTATTTGGGGCTTGGTGGGAGGGGGGTGGGTGCCCTCTCAGTTTTTTGGGCTCCTGGATCCTGAAAAACCAAGAAGGCTATGTTGATTGGGCCCGGGGATTGCGTGTCATGGTCCCCGGGCCCAATCCACACCAGGCCCACATGTGGTAAGACCCGGATATTACCTTTAGATACAGATCTTGCCAGTTGTTTAATTAATTTACAACAGATCAGGAAAACTTTACTTTGTTCCAAATTAATTCCCCTTTCTCACACACAAATAAAAGATTTTACAGGAGGCGTCATTTGGACAACTCCAGTGAAACAGAGACAGATCTCGCATTATGGGTCTGTCTGGATGGGCCCATAGTTACATAAAAATAGTGAAATAGGTTTCCATAGAAGAAAATAGTGAAATCAATAGCTTTCCTATGGCAGTCTTGATCTCTTTATTTCTCATACTATAGATAATAGGATTCATCAAGGGTGGAAGAAAGGTATATATCACTGTTAAAACCAAATCAAAAGCAGATGGAGTATGAGAGGGAGGCCTCAAATAGGCAAACCATCCAGTGAAAATAAATATAGAAAATACAATGAGGTGTGGGAGACAAGTAGACAATGCTTTTTGCCGTCCCTGAACAGAGGGAATTCTTAGCACAGCACTGAAGATCAGCACATATGTAATTATGATGAAGACAAAACATCCTAATTCAATAATAGCACTGACCACAAGAACAAAAACTTCAACTAGGTATGAGTTAGAGCAGGAGAGCTTTAGTAAATGTGGGATTTCACAATAGAACTGATTGACAATGTTGGAGCAAAAAGGAACTACAAAAGTACCTCCCGTGTGTAAAGCACCATAAAAAAGACCAGTGATCCAAACAGTAGCCAACATTTGTGTGCAGGTTTGCTTGTTCATTGCCATTTCATAATGTAAAGGATTGCAGATGGCAACAAACCGATCATACGCCATGACTGTGAGGAGAAAGAAATCAGATCCTACAAAGAACACAAAGGAGAACACTTGGGCAACACATCCCGAAAAGGAAATATGTCTAGTATTCATGAAAGAATTGGTCATAGATTTAGGTATGATAGCTGAGACAGAGCCTAAGTCCTGAATGGCCAAATTCATCAGGAAAAAGTACATGGGGGTGTGAAGATGGTGATCCCAAATTACTGCAGAGATGATGAGAAGATTTCCTGATAAAATTGATAAATACAGTACCAGGAACAAAATGAAGTGTAGAATCTGCAGTTCCCGAATTGTTGAGAATTCAAGGAGAAGAAATTCAGAAATGGAGGACTGATTATTCATTACTGAGGTACATTCCACTTCTAGAGGAGAAGATAGAGTTTAATGTTAGAATCACATACTTACCCAATAAGGATCATTTCATTAATAACATATGAGATTTAAAGGAGAAAACATGATAAATGGCCAATTAAAAAGGGATTTCCTGAGTTCCTCTCAACTTTTTCAGAGGCACTGACGGAGAATAGAATTCAAGTTATTATTTAAACACAATTTCATAGTTGTAAGCATGTCAGCAGAAGGTAATAGAATACAGAAACATGCTATTATTTAAGATGATACAGTCGTGCAAGACAAGACTGTTTACAGAATGATTCATTTGTTATGTGTGAAACAATGTACAGCTTATGGAATGTTTCATTCTGCACAACAGCAAAGATTTTGAGTGACACAGAATGTGTCATATGAACACCTGAAGCCTCAACATATTGAGACATCTCAACAAGTCTGCTTTATCATTTTGCTCAATCTTTTGAAGGTTAGTGATCACTATCACAACTTGAATCTTTGAATATCCATTACATCCTGAGTCCACTCTTATTACCAAGTAATTGTGCCTAAGTGTAGAATTCACAAGGTACTCCGTTTGAAAAAGTGGACTGAAATCCATGAAAGCTTGTGCTAAAATGAATCAGTCTGAAAGGTGATCAGTTTCTACCACTACTAACAGCACATCTTTGTATTTGTATACTGATTAATATAGCTATCTTTTTAAAGTGAGGTTCGAACTATTGCCTTCATAGAATTGATCTTATTATAATACATTATGCTTTAGTGTTTAAAGATAAAGCTGTTTAATGTCTATTAGCATTAAGAGAATCAAAGGAACCCAATGGCACTTTTGAGTCACACTTGAAAGAAGAAATTTCAAGCATAAAAATGTCAACCCGTTACATCAGATGTATCATGAAAAAAATCTTCTCCCAATTTGTCTTAAAGATGCTACTGGATTCTTTCATGTCTTACTGTTGTCCATATGTCTTACTCTTGTCCAACTCTTACAGTTTGGACAGAAACCATTATGCTGTTCAACTGTTTTTGGGTATGAGGCTGTCAGTGAGCTGAGTATAAACCATACACACTTCTGTGATGACTAGTGGACCCATTGCCATGGGGCCAGCAACCTTATTCCTGTGGCTGCTCTTTCTCCTACAACTGTTCTAAGTTGCCCCAGAACTTCTCCACTGTTGAACCTTTTCCCTCAAAAGTCTGGCACTGGCAAAATTATCCCACTTTTAAAAGCTTGAGAAACATTGTTCTGTGGTCTTCAGCCTTGCCTCCCTTATCTTTCTCATTGTATTTCCACCTTTACTTTCAGCAAAAATAGAGAACACTGAATAATTTTGATGCATATGCTGAATGACTTACCCTTAGCCCATGTGTAAGAGTAACTCATTCAGATGTTGCTGAATAGTTGTTGTTGAATAGTCCTTGCTCTCAGTCCTAGCTTGAGTGGCCAGTGATAAAGTAGGATTATACAGCAAGCAATCCAACATCTGGAGAGTCAGGCATTTGCTATCTATGTCTTCACTAAATTGCTAATTAACTGTGCAATTCTTGGGAGGTCATTTGTTGTCTTCTAAGTTTAAAATAAGTGTAATTTATTGCCATGTACATGCATACATGATTACAATAATCTTCAATTGTATAAAACGCAGACATTTTATAGCACTGAGCTTGCAGTACTCTTCAAAGATTTATTTTTATTGGCATGAAAATTATCAATATAATGGACACTGGCACATTAGAATAAAGACAAACAAATCAAACTGATAGAGCTCAGTCATTTTTAATCAAGATATATTGAAGTTTTCTAAAATTATATCCTTCCCCAGACATACAACCTCCATTAATTTCCCTGTTTTTCATGAAATGCTTTTTGACAATACTGTTATGACAACATTTTGAAAGTGCAGAATGCTGAAAATACTTTCAACTGTACAATACCTTCACCTATACAACCATTGATCTAACTGTACTGCTGTATAAAAACAGCAGTACAGTTAGTGATCCATTTAGAGCTATTGGTATCCATATCATTTTGTAAGGTTAAACTTCATTTGGCTTACTTTTTCTCCCTTTTTCTTCAGGAATTTCCATTTTTCCCCTCCTTGGGTACTTTCTGGTCCAGTATGTAGTATCAGTCAGTGAGCCATAATATTTTATAGCAGTACTGCTATAAAATGACTTCTTGGAGCTAGAGATAGCCTTCCACTGCTCACAATCACAGATCATCTACACCAGAAGGAAGTGGTTTATTAATGTATGTTCATATCTCTGGGGGCCTTATTATTTAATGTATGTTTGTATCTCTGGAGGCTTCAGCAATCTGGTGGAAGACAATATTACAAATATACAGAAAAAAGAAATGATTTTTGATCCCTCCACCCCACCCTAGTATGTGTTTGCTGATATATTTACTGAAACAATGGTATCTGAGAAGGGTGGACTGGTCCTAACAAGCATTGTTTTATGCAATAAAGCCCTTATTTTATGGCATAAGTACGCTAAAGTTCCATTGGCAATATGTAGAAACACTCTTTAGCTGGCCTCTAACCCTACTATTTATTCCAGGTTGAGGGACATGTGCCTTCCATATTACCTTGTTTTTTGCATGCACACACACCATTAAACATAGCCAAAATAGGAAATTTTGAAATGGGAGTTGTAGTGCAACAGTCTGAATTCCTGGTATCACTACTAGTTAATACAGACTAGAATTAGCTACTAAGGGGTTTTTTTGTTTGTTTGTTTGTTTGTTTGTTTTTGCCATGAATCACATCCAGCACTACCTAAACTGGCTGGGTTGATATGGATGAAAGAGCTTTACTGCAACACTTGTGAGACTGTGCATTGATACAGATATGATTTGTGCTAGACGTTAGGCTTGTTTGATTAAAAAAATGGTTCAAACCTCGTTTCGGATGTAGGGCATGCTGGCGATTCGATTTTGAAATGATTTCCGAAATTTTCTGGAAAAAAAGGTCGGAAGTATCTGAAATTTCTGAAATTTTGGAATCGCTTCGTTAATGGCAACATGCATGTGCAGTAGGAAAGAAACAGCACTGGCACTGGGGAAACTTCAGGGGATTGTCCCTCCCTCACTTTGACCAATCATGATGAAACTTGCTACAGTGTTTCCTTACAAATTTGTCATGCAGACATCTATCAAATTCGAGGGCAATTTCTTTTCAATTGTCTTGGTGTAATAAACAGCCACAACTTTATTGCTTAATAGAAATATGAAACATGACAACAGTATGGGAGAAAGTAGGCCCTTCCTCCTGGGAAGTCCAGGTAAACAGAGTCTTTCATTGAGAATGACTTCCCAGCTATGAAGCACAGTTTATCATTGCTTATTCTTTCTAAGTTGAGGCTGCTTAGCACACTTGAAGGCATTTTTCAGTATGAACAGACTGCTCTGGCAACATGAGATGCAGAGCCAACCTTAAGAAATGGGGCCACAAAGTGGAATCCATGACATGCGAGTGCGGAGAAGAGCAAACCACAGACCACCTACTGCAATGCAGTCTGAGCCCTGCCACATGCACAATGGAGGACCTTCTTGCAGCAACGCCAGAGGCACTCCAAGTGGCCAAAGGACATTTAATAGAATATCAAGTCTGCAAACTTTGTGTTTTGTTTGTTTGTTTATTTTTTTAATGTAATACAACTGTTTTGGTTTGCTCCTGACATGATAAAAAAAGTGTGGGACAAAGAACAACTTCTCCCCATCAGCCACTAGCAATCAGAATCACATGAATATGATTCCATCAACTGGTAGCACCTTGTCATTCCCATCAAAGATACACATGTCCTGAGTGACCACACCCCATGAGTTGTGACAGAAAAACAAGTCATATATATCATATGGAAACAGGGATGTGGTGAAAATGTGTTCACAAAAAAAACACAAGGTATGTGATTTTCTATGCCTTGTATCAAACATTTTTGAGCTATGAAATTGTCACCTCCAGATGCAAGAATTCATAGCTACCTCATTTGTAAAAGTAATAATAAGCAGACACTTCAATAGACGTCTCTGTTATGTTCAGGACATTTTTATTGCTTAAATCACAAATTTATTTATTTATTTATTTATTTGCAGTATTTATATTTTGCACTTCTCACCTCACAAGGAACTCAGGGCGGATTACAGTGCACATATACATGGCAAACATTCAATGGCATAGACACACAACATATATAGACAAACACAGAGGCATTTTAAGCTTCCTGAGGGTATGCTCAAATTCCAGCTAGCTACTGGAGGAGCTGTTGCTTCATGGTCCATTGTGTCATGTTCTCAATAGCTTCCATGATTATTTTTCCACCAGCAGCCATTCATAGAGTTTAGTGTAAAACCACAATACATTATAGCTGTTATAATTACTAGCGCTTAGTTGAACATGAATGTCAGGTAAGGGACTGGATTGTTTCCTTTTAACATTCTTAGGCAAGCCTGCATCATAAAACACCAATAGAGCTGTGCATATAATCCAAGTGGAAAGATAGCTTAAACTCTGTTCTCAAACTTCCCATGTAATATAAATTCTATCATCAGTATTAATATTTTATCATCCCAGATCTTTCATGTAAAACTAAATAGTTAAAAGATTTTAAAATCATAAGTTTTAAAAGTGTTTTCTGATGATAGGGGAAGGGAAATATAAAAAATTCAGACTAATGTCCTAACAGTAAGCTAAAAGTAAACTACAACAGTTTTTTTTTTAAAAAAAGCAAGCAATAAGACTCCATACAGCTAAGAAACAAATCCATCATAGGATTCTTAAACTTATCTTTTATGAAACCACAAAAATGAGCAAGGAACCCCAGGCAAAAAGTAATATCCTTGTAATTGATTTGATATGAGAAAAACTGAATCTGGCTCGTAGTAGCCAACAGATTAAATATTTTAAAAGGTAAAAAATCAGATCACACTCCAAGATTTGTATATGCATTTTTTCTTTTTCCCACAAAAATGGAATAATGAAGAAAATCTACAATTTACAATTACACACACATGCACATTCTTTTAATAGAAAAATGCACTGAAAGTTTAGCTAAGGAAGCCTTGATATCTTTGTTCCTCATGCTATAGATTATGGGGTTCATTATTGGTGGAACAAAGGTATATACCACTGTTAATATTAAATCAAGAGCAGATGGCATGTTAGAAGGAGGCCTCAAGTGGGCAAACCATCCAGTGAAAATAAATATAGAAAACACAGTGAGGTGCGGGAGGCAGGTGGAGAAAGCCTTTTGTCTTCCTTGGGCAGAAGGCATTCTCAGAACAGTTCTGAAGATGAGCACATATGTAATGATGACGAAAACAGCACACCCTAACACTATAATAGCACTGATCTGAAGAATAATAATTTCAAGTGGGTGTGAGTCAGAGCAAGTGAGAATTAGTATTATTATTATTTATTTATTACTTGCACTTGTTAACCGCCGCTCTCAGCCCTAGGGCGACTCGCGGCGGTGTACAAAAACATAGAAAAGACAATTTACAATAGGTCAAGACAGAACGACAACATTCTACTGCTACATAACATCTACTTATACTAAAAATCCGCTTCGTCTTAACATGTGGTCATAATCAATCTCATAGTCGTAGTCCATTCCAGTCGTCAATTCCAATAACATAGCACTCAGTTGAAGGCCATCTCGAAAAGCCATGTTTTCAGGCCCTTACGAAAGGCCATGAGGGAGGGCGCCTGTCTAACTTCAGCAGGGAGGGAGTTCCACAGCCGGGGGGCCACCACTGAGAAGGCCCGTTCTCTCGTCCCCGCCAGGCGTGCCTGTGAGGCAGGCGGGACCGAGAGAAGGGCCTCCCCAGAAGATCTCAAGGTCCTCGTGGGCTCGTAGGCCGAGATACGGTCAGAAATGTGGAATTTCACAGAAAAACTGATTGACAACATTGGAACAGAAAGAAACTACAAAAGTACCTCCCGTGTGTAATGCACTATAGAAAAGGCAGGTGATCCAAACAGCAGCCACCATTTGTGTGCAGGCTTGCCCATTCATTACAATTTCATAATGCAAAGGATTGCAGATGGCAACATAACGATCATATGCCATAACTATGAGGAGAGAGAAATCTGATGCCACAAAGAATACAAAGACAAAAACCTGGACCACGCATTCATAATAGAAAATGTGTCTGGTATTCATGAGAGAATTGGCCATAGATTTGGGTATGACAGCTGATACAGAGCCTAAGTCCTGAATGGCCAAATTCATCAGGAAAAAGTACATTGGGGTGTGGAGATTATGATCTGAAGCTACTGCAGTAATGATAAGAAGATTGCCTGATATGATTGCCAAGTAGGATACCAGGAACAAAAGGAAGTGTAGAATCTGGAGTTCCCGGCTTGCTGCGAATTCAAGGAGGAGAAATTCAGAAATAGAGGAATTATTCATTGCCTTTCATGTCTAAAATACACTTCCTTCTACAAAAAAAACAGAAAAGTCAGTGTTAAAATTAGACAGTCACCTAATACAGCTTCTGTTTAAAGACTTCCAAGTAGAAGAGGCCACCACCCCTGGGACAGTGTGTTTCATTGACCAACATCCCTTACTATTGAGAACTCTTTCTTTATGTTTTCTAAGATCTCTTTTCTGGCAATTTGAATCTACTAATTTTTGGCTGAGAGATCATCAGAAAATCTCAACCTTTTATAGCATCATTTCAGATATTTAAAGATGGTTATCATATTACTTCTCAATCATCTTTACACCAAGGTAAACATGCCTAACTGTTTATCTTGTTTCTTGTATCCAGACCTTTTCTCATCCTCTGGACCCATTTCTGCACAGGACACAATATTCAAGATCAGATAAGTTTGAAGCAGAATAGTATAGGACCATTGATTTCCTTTACCTGGACAGGACACTATTGCTGAAGTAGCCTACAATTTTTACTATGATTCCTTTTTTTTGGGGGGGGGGGGGTCGTCAATATGGCACATTGTTGATTCATGTTTAGCTTGTGCTTTACTAAGTATTCTAATCCTTTTCACAAATATTGCTGTCAAGCCAGCTCTCTCCTCACCTATAGTTTTGCATTCCATTTGCCTGCTTAATATAGTACCTCATAGTTAATCTAACTGAAACTCATTTTGCTATTTGTGGTTGAGCTGTCTAATCTATTTAAATGACCTAGAATTCTGATTCTATTCCCTGGATTATTAGGTAATTAACCTAACTTGGTCATATCTGCAAATTTGATAAGCAAGATATTTATTCCATCACCCAAATCATTTATAAAGATAGTGAACATAGAATGAAAAACAGTCACTGGTGAGCTCTCTTTGGTTTTGGTTAACCAAACTGCTGATACTGTTTCATATTATTTAATGTTGGATAACCAACAACCATGGATAATTTAGATAATAATGAATATATTTCTATATAGGTCCCTTTGAGAAACAGACCTACCTTTCTTAAGGTATAAAGAATATAAATTGCTTACTTTCTTCTTTTGGCTCTTTGTAGTTTTTCTGTTTCAAGTATTATGTAGCAGTCTTTCGGTTAAGTTGTTTTATACTTCTCTGAGTCAGATAATCAACCCCTCTGGGGAAGGGGGGGGGGGAGAGATATTTTTTATTAATATTCATTTTGTATCTCTGGAGACATAGTCCCAGAAACTTAATTCAAGCCATCATTGCATGTGTGTATTAGACAAGTGTTTTCTCTCTCCTCATCCCCCCTTTTTAATCATTTTCTATTATGTTTATTAAAACTGTTTCTCTTTGTCTACTGGAGGGTGACAGAGCAGAAATAACAAGTAATGTCTTCCCTATCTCTCCACCCAAGAGTCTGCAATGAAAGCATAGCTTGGAATGTCATTTGATAATATTAGAAATCAATATATTACAAATCAAATCATATTAGAAATCAAAAATAGAAAATGAATTAATGGCTTGTTGTAGGTTTTTCAGGCTGTATGGCCATATTCTAGAAGCATTCTCTCTTGTCATTTCACCTACATCTATGGCAGGCATCCTCAGATCTATGGCAGGTCTCTGAGGATGCCTGCCATAGATCAAAACGTCAGGAGAGACTGCTTCTAGAACATGGCTATACAGCCTGAAAAACCCACAACAACCTAGTGATTCCAGCCATGAAAGCCTTTGACAATACATTGAATTTATTAATATAAACACTACTGGTTGAAATAATTTATTTTTGTTCAATTGCTGATAACTTAACTGTATAGGGACATCTTAACTATATAGTTAAAAGGAAGTGGGTTTAAGGAGAAAGAGCTAAAAGCAAAATGGTAAGAGCAAAGAAAAGGAGAGTGAGTAGCCAGGAAAGAATGAAACATATTTTCACTTTTATTAGACAGGCAGACAGATAGATTTAATATAGATATTGCACAATAGGAATCCATATGGAATGGAGGAGGTAAAGTTATTGAAATGAGTATGAGTGGAAACATTTTCCTTTCATTGCAGGAGGAGAGATTCTAAGAGGGCCTGGCTGCTTGAGACCTTGGTCCTTCCTAAGGGGAAAAAAATCATTCTGTCCCATCCCATTCCCCATCAAGACAGGGGGCTGGACTGGATGGCCCCCGAGGTCTCTTCCAACTCTATGATTCTATAAGTCTAAGAATGATTGTCCTCTCTCCACCCATTACATTCCTGAATGTGTTTCTTTTGCTTTATTTATTTATTTGACTATTACTCTTTATCAAAAACGTTCTTTGAGTAGCTTAAGCAGTAAAATGAAAAGGAGTGAAATAGTACAAAGTAATTTAATAGACTAAAACATATTAAGCATAACAACAAGACAAAACAATGTACATCAGTATTTGAAATGAACCAATTAATGAGGACAAAAAGCATTGATAAACAGCCACTTTATACCTTAATGAATCCGTGTCATACTTATTGGGATTTCTAGGACCTCTTCACACAGGGTTTTATATGGCCTCTATTTCTTCTTTGGGATGGGCCCTGCTGAGCACCATTCCACAATGCTGGTTTGGCCCCGCCCCCCATTCCTTCCAAAGTGGAGGGGGAGCATCAGAAGATGCTTCCTCTGCCATGACAGACAGAAAAGGGTGTTTTGGGTAGCTCCAGTTTTTTTGTTTTTTGTTTTTTGCCTTTTCACCCATATTATGGGGTCAGGATCAACGTGAAATTGCAGGGGCCATGTGAAGAGGTCCTAGGAGAGGAGAATGGCTGAGAAAATCATCTCAAGGCTGAGAAGCAGAGGAGCACCTCCTCCCTCAGGTCTCAGTCTTTAAACAGATATAGGGAAAGGAACTCATTCTAGTATTAAAGTTTTAAGCTATTAAGAGCTTTAAATGTTATTACCAGTGCATTGAATTCAAACTGGAAGCATATTAGCAGCAATTCCATTTTTAAGACTATTTGGTATGCCAATCAGTTGCTGAGTTGTTGCATCTTGCTCTAATACAGGTCTACTTCAAGGAGAACTCCTGTAGAGCACATTACAGTAGTTTACTTAGAAAGAATTATGGGTTCTTCACCTTTGAGAATCACATCTACCTTGATAACCGAAACTGACTTATATTCTCCAAATGGAGGAGAAAGCACATTCACATGGCATTTTAGACTGAGAAACCTTTTTGTACAGTCAACTTCTAGGGCATTTCAATTGGGAGAAAAAATGTCTAGGGGAGCAATAACATGCATAAATTGCTTCTTCTTTCCCATGATAAGCATTTGGGATCTCATAAAACAAATAAAAACAATGACTTGCTGACCAAGCAATCAGAGATGTGGGGTACTTTCCCCCAGCCTAAGGATAACAACAACAACAACAACAACAACAACAACAACAACAACAACTTTATTTTTATATCTCACTTCCATCTCCCCGAAGGGACTCGGGGCAGCTTACATGGGGCCAAGCCCAATCCATTACCATTAAGAATATATACTAGGGCTAGGATTGAACAACTTGGTATTATGATGTGAACTGGGCATTACTGTAACATCCCAAGAAGTGAGAGGTTCTTCATATGGGGAGAACAAACTGTTGAAGATATTGAACATTTTTGATTGATTGTCCAACATATACTGAACTGCAATACAGATATTTATACCCAATATTATTCAACTTTAGGCCCTCCAACAGAAATGATCTTCTGACATTCCCCTTGCAAGGACAGGAAAGATCCACCATAATCAGAGTAAGCCTTTTTATTCTGAAAGCTATCAAGAAAAGAGGACATTTCCTGAAAGAAGAAACAGGAGAATAAGATTCTGACTGTAAATAGAAGGTCAGCTGCTATTCTCTCCTTGTTGCCTTGTCTTTTACTCGTGTTATATTTTGAAATGGTCATATGACTGGTCAAATAAATAAATAAATAATGCTTCCATCATTCATGGGAGAGATCTATACATTAGAATGCATAACAACAATTAAAAAATATTTAACAGCAATTATAATAAAATATAAAAGAAGCATCAAAACCAACAACAACAGCATAATCCAAGTCTCAATATGAGTGGGCAGACTGGTGCACAACAATTTAGATGGTAGGGCTAATAAGTACAGTGCATAGGTTGTATAATGACATTAAGGATAAGAGCAATATAAGAAGGAATATCTGAATATAATAATTTATTTATTTATTTATTTAATAATAGTAGTAAAGTGCATGGCCAAGATTTTTGAGTCCTAGCTGGGGCCAGTTATCAAGGGAATCATTTAGTCAAACTCACAGCGGAACATCCAGGTGTTTAGATCTTTGTGAAAAGTGGATAAGGAGGGTACTAGTCTGATCTCCCTGGGGAGGGAATTCCAGAGCTGGAGGGTGATGACTATCTCAGGAATTGTCAATCTATTTATATTACTAGAAAGAGGATTTACTGCAAACACCTGAAATGACCTACACAAGTTGGCTAAGACATCTGGGAAACAGGAGTGCTTGAACCTAATTTCAACAGGTTCAAATACTGGGAGTGGCATGAGCTCCCGCTGTCAACCCCAGCTTCTGCAAACCTAGCAGTTTGACAACATGCAAATGTGAGTAGATCAATAGGTAGAACTCTCGCGGGAAGGTAACAGCGGTCCATGTAGTCATGCCGGCCACATGACCTTGGAGGTGTCTACAGACAACACTGGCTCCTTGGCTTAGAAATTGAGATGAGCACCAGCCCCCAGAGTTGGACATGACTAGACTTAATGTCAGGGGAAAACCTTTACCTTTAGCTTAAATAAATGAAATGAGAAGAATTCTAGTGAGCACGTTTCAAATGCAATTTTAATCAGAAGCTAAACCAATTAATTTAAATAAACTTTCACATGAAAAACAACATTCACAACAACATATATATGGAACATTATGAAATGCCAAGTCTCCAGCTCTTCCCAAAATTCTCAAATGGAGGGACTTGACTGAAATCAAAATTAATAATAGCACAATATATATTTTAAAAAAACGTGGAATTAACCTTACTAAATTGAGACCAGTTATCTCTGACCAAACAGTTTAATCAGAGCAATCCTTATTTCTCTGTTTCTCATGCTATAGATTACTGGATTCATTAAGGGTGGGACGATGAAATATATCATAGTCACTGCCAGATCAGGTTGTGTTGTGGAATCTGAGGTGGGCTTCAAATAAGCCAAGGAACCAGTCAGCAGAAATACAGAGCAAACTGTGAGATGTAGGATGCATGTTGAGAAAGCTTTTTGCTTTTTCTGCACAGAAGGCATTTTTATTACTGCAATGAAGATATGCACATAGGTCATAATAATAAAAACAAAGCAGCCTGCTACAACCATAGAGCTTAGCAAAATAAATCCAATTTCAATCAGGTACAAATCAGAGCATGCAAGCTTTATTAAATGTGGGATTTCACAAAAAAACTGATTGACAATGTTGGAACAAAAGGGGGATGCAAAGGTGCCTACCGTGTGTAACCCTCCAAAGAACAAACTAATAACCCATACAGCGGTGACTATTTGAAGGCAAGCATTCCTATTCATCACCATCTCATATTGTAAGGGATTGCAAATAGAAACATATCGATCATAGGCCATGACTGTTAGAAGAAAGAAATCAGATGATAAAAACAAGACATACAAAAGGATTTGAGCGACACAACCAGAATAGGAAATGTATCTGGCATTCACGAGGGCATTGGCCATGGATTTGGGTAAAATGACAGAAACTTGTCCCACATCCTGTATGGCCAAGTTCATCAGAAAGAAGTACATGGGTGTATTTAAGTGATAGTCGGAGATAATTGCAGAGAATATCAGAAAATTTTCTGCCACTATTGCCAAGTAAACAATAAAAAATCCAATAAAATGCAGAATTTTCAGCTCCCAAATCTGTGAGAATTCCAGTAGAAGAAACTCTGGCACAGAAGATGTACTGATAGGTCTTTGCTCTTTAATATGCATGTTGCCTGTGAGAGGAAGCAGAAAGAGAATTTTCAGCATTAGCAAGCTTGAGATGTTACATGATCAACTTGATAGAAAATGAGGAAGGTTATTGCTATACATGATAATGGCAGCACAAATTGCCTACTCTCAAAGATGGAAAGACTCAATTATATCAATCACAAGATGATTGGCTTATGAAAATAAGAGAACTTGTGTAATTGATACACTTACTACATTGGGTTTCTGTGAGATTTCTGGGCTGTATGGCCATGCTCCAGAAGCATTCTGTCCTGACATTTCACCCACATCTATAGCAGGCATTCTCAGAGTTTGTGAGGTTTGTTGGAAAATAGGCAAGTGGGGTTTATATATCTGTGGAATGTCCATGGTGGGAGAAAGAACTCTTGTCTATTTGAGGTAGGTGTGAATGTTGCAATTGGCCAGCTTGATTAGCATTTGATAGCCTTGCACCTTCCAAACTTGTCTGTTTTCTGCCTGAGGGGATCCTTTGTTGGCAGGAGTTAGCTGGCCCTGTATGTTTCCTATCTAGAATTCCCCTATTTTCTGAGTGTTATTCTTTATTTACTGTCCTGATTCTAGAGGTTTTTAAATACTAGTAGCCAGATTTTGTTCATTTTCATGGTTTCCTCCTTTTTGTTGAAATTGTTCACATGCTTGTGGATTTCAATGGCTTTTCTGTATAGTCTGTTAACCATTGGAGCCACGGAGAACCACTTCAACAGCATCCACCCAAACATCCAATTCACAATGGAAGGTGAATTGGGCTTCTGCTGGAAGATACACAATGTCATGTGATGTCCAGCATAGGGCCCCATCAATTAGATGGGGTGAAAACATCCTAGGATGCTAAATTCACCCCCATCTGATGAGGTAGTAAGTTAAAATGTGTTTAGACCAATATTTTAATAATCAATGTTCAGGAAATACGCTGTTTTTGAATAGTAGAAGTCTTGGTTTCATCATCTATAGAAAGGTTTTGAATCAATGGACAGATTGACTTAATTTATATTTTGCTACTCTGTTGCATCCATTTACGACTGGTTCTATATGATCCAAATAGCTTGCAACAAGAGGTAGTTCTCTTTACCCAGCGAACTCTGGCACTTCTTAAACTGACACCATAGCAACTTTTCCAATATACTCTGCTTCCCAGTCCTACCCATATTTGGAAACCAAAGGATTTCTATCAATGGGTTTTTAATTGAGGATTTTGAAAGTTTAGAATTGAAAATATGCTCAGTAAACTAAAATTTAAATTAGTTGTTCTTAAGAGATTCTTACATTGTGAAATATTGTAAATTTTCAATTCTTTCTCTCTCTCATACATACAATACTTTATTGTCTATATTGGCTTGCCTGAGCATTTTCTTACTATTAGATTGCAGCAGCCTAAGGCTTGCTTACTTTGGGACATATAGACATACACACATAAACATTAAGCAATATGTCTATAATCATAATCTTTCATACTTCACATTTCTAAGGATTAAGAGATCAGACCTGGAATGTCCATCCAATCCAAACCCTTGCTATACAAGAATACACAATCAAAACATTCTTGACATATGGTTATCCAGATGAAGATTCCATCACAATCTGAGGCAATGTATACAGCTATTGAATGGCTCTTATCATTGGAAGGTTCTTCTTAATGGAATCTCTTAGGTGGATTCTCTTTTCTTCCATTTGAATTTATTGCTGCATATCTTAGTCCTTACAACAGCAGAACACAATTGCCCTGAACTGAACACAATATCCAAGTTGAGATCTGACCAAAGCAGAATATTATGCAGGTACTATGACTTCCCTTGATCTAGACAGATATGCTCCTATTGATATACTGTATCTATGCAACCTAAGTCTGACTGTGCCAATCTAATGACAAGAAGTCACTATCTTTTCTTTGTTCATCATCATCATCATTATGGGGCGCTCAGTGGCACAATAGATTAAACCCTTGTGCTGGCAGGACTGCTAACCAAAAGGTCGGTGGTTCAAATCTGGAGAGAAGATTGAGCTTCCATCTGTCAGCTCCAGCTCCCCATGGAGGACATGAGAGAAGCCTCCAATAGGAAGGTAAAACATCAAACACCCAGCTGTCCCCTGGGCAAGGTCCATGCAGACGGCCAATTCTCTCACACCAAAAGTGACTTGCAGTTTCTCAAGTCGCTCCTACATGAAATAACAATATTCAAGTTGAGGTCTGTCCAAAGCAGAATATTATGCAGGAATTATGACTTCCCTTGATCTAGGCAGACACTATGCTCCTATTGATATATCTATGCAACCTAAGTCTGACTGTGCCAACCAAATGACAAGAAGTCACTATCCTATCTCTAAATGAGGTTTGTTCATTATTATTAGTATTATTAGTATTATTATTATTATTATTATTATTATTATTATTATTATTTTCTGTTTTATCTCTCCTGAAGGAGACTCAAAGCAGCCTAACATAAAAGCATTAGCATACAATTTAAAATAAAATATGAAAACATTACTTACTTACTTACTTACTTACTTACTTACTTACTTACTTGCTTGCTTGCTTAGGCGATCCCTCGTAGTCCGAGGGTGATGGTCCTCCAAATGTAGTATCCTGGTGGTGGGTCCGTAGGTGACTGTGGAGCCCTATTCAAACATTAAAACAGAATGAAATAGAAACGCTTAAACATTCACACTTAAAATCAATTAAAACATATTCAAAGTTAAAAGCCACTGCAACCCCTGATATCTAATATTAGACAGGGAAAAGTGGTCACCTTAATTAATTAATGTATTTATTTCCAACATTTGTACTTCATCCTTCTCAACCCCCAAAGGGGGACTCAGGGCGGCTTACAACAGCAACAATTCAATGCTGACGCATACAGAATATATGCACAATATATCAGATTAATCAGATTACATGAGGATTTTATACCCCAGACTAGTTTTATTTATACATCCGTATAATGAAAATGGGATTAGTTGAAAACCGGGGACATTGCTTAGCCTATGCCAATGAAAATGTCCAAGAAAGTTCATAATGGATGTCTTTTTCCTCATTTTTTATGCTAAAACCAATAAATATGGTGACTGAAATTGTCAACTAGATTACTTGAGGATTTTAAGAAAAATATTTTTGGCAAACCTTTCCCAGAGAGAAAAATGTTAGGATCAGCTGGATTTATCTAAAGAAATAAATTAAATATGAAATGAAATAAAGAGGAATCTTACCAATGAACATTAATTCACTTGTACCAATCATTATCATTCATTTCAGCTTATTATTATTATTATTATTATTATTATTATTATTATTATTATTTCTTACGTGTCTGTCCTCATGCCTCTATGTGGGCAAACGAACCATTCATAAAATAATAAATTAATCCAAACTGAGGAACAGCTTTCTTCAATGACATTATTTTGTGATAACATCAGTTCCATACAAATATAAATATACCATACCAAATAGTTATATATGCAACAATAAAACACTTAGACTGCAATCAATTTTTATCTGCAAGAAAAAGCCAAAAGAAAAACCTAGAAAATATGTGGTCTAGTTTCACACAAGAAGAAATGCAGTTTAGTTAATCTAAAATTATATTGATTAATAACTTACTATTTTTATGAAGAGGTCATTCAAATGCTTATTCATATATTTCTCCATTTGATTTAGCTGGCAATGCCATTTTAAAGATGCTGTATTCAATCCCCCCATCTCCAGAACAAGGAGTATCTGTCTGTGTTGATGGCATGAATTTGGCTCCATGGAATACCAGTTTGTTTGTTCTTTGAGATTTGGTCTCAAGATGACAGCAGAATGTAGCAAATGCCTCTGTGGATGAAAGGGGATTTTTTTGTATGCAACCTTCTAATCTAATTGCTTCTAATTAGCAGTTGACTTCAATGTGAAAAAAATACAAGAAATTAACATGAGTGCCAAAAGTTTCCATAGTTTCAAATGGTGGAGATTTGAGCTTCTTTGATTTTCCATTTCTTTCTGTGGGATATTCAGTGTTAAATCCAACCAGTAATGGACTTTTGCAATCATATATTAATGTCGGAGATGGGAGAGATAGTTGCATGGTTCTGCCATTATTTAAGGTCCACAATTTTGTTGCCCCATTATCCAAGTTTTTCCTATGAAAAAGTCACTTTGCAAATAAGAGACTACAATCTTTTTGAGAGAGAATTATAAATAAAGAGATAAATAGAGAGAGAGAATGATAAATAGAGAGAATGACAAAGGGTGGAAGCATTAGGTCATGGACATCCAGTCCCCTGCGATGCAGGCAATCCTTTGAAGATTTCTCTTCTTGTGCATCACTATTTTAGCCAGGCGTTCTTCTAATTTTACTTCAAGTGAAATTCTGTGACCATCTAAAGATGCATTAAACTCAACATGACACATGTGTATGTGTGTGTGACTTCAAGGATCTTTTTCAATTAATTATCCCCAAACATGGCAAGATATGGATAGTTCACTAAAGAAATGCAAAAGGCCATTTGCTAAAACCCAGATTTTGAGTGTAGAAATTGTATTTCTATGCAGAAACCACATGCAAATGTTGCACTAAATAAATCCTGATTTATGAATAGCTTTCCAAACCTGACTGTTTTTCAAAAACTTTTACACAGTAAGACAACATTTGCTAAAATGACTCTAAGCTTTCTTCAAGAAGAGGCCTGTTGAACTATTTCACCCCAACTACATTATCACAGTAGAAGACATGCCATTGCTGGTGCACCTATTGAATCTGACAAATCTGTACCACAAAGTTAAGTCTTCAGTGACTGGGGGTGTTTCTAGACATGACAGAAATGTGCCCCAAAGCTGGTTTTTAAAACCTGCTTTGAGGCACATTTTTGTCCCCAAAAAGGGCTTTCTCAGCTGGGTGTCCACATGCCCTCGCAGTAACTTCTGGGAGAGCATGAGTCCACTGAGCGGAACCCCCCTTCCAAAAAAATCCCTTAAAAGAAAAATAAAATTTACCAGGCACCATGATACCTCTCCAGAAGGCCACCGGGGGCACCAGGGGCAACCTGGGAGTCCCATAGGGCCTATACCCCATTAGATCCAGGCCTTTCAGGAAGACCTGGATACATTGGAGTATCAAATTAATTGGGGAAAAAGCAGGATTTTCCTACTTTGCCACAAATTAATCCTCTTTCTTCCAGAGGCATTTCAAATCTTGTAAGGTCCTTGGACGGTGCAAATAAACACAGGATTTAAAAAAAACCCATAGAAAAAAATCACAAGGGGCCAAATCTGGAGAGCGGGTCAGCCCACCCAAATCTGCTCGAAAAGTAGGCCTCAACAGCAAAAGCATGCTCCTCACTGTTCCAACTCATGATGGCAACTGAACTGTGTCAGGACAAAACTTTATACTCCCGCCTCTCAAATGAGACAACTAGCGCTCCGCTACGTCTTCAACTGACTGAATGGCGCACATTTTAAAAAATAAAGGTATGCTGCTGCACCCTGTATATGTGGCATGATATAATGTAGGTTAGCCTTGGGAACATTGCCTCATCTATATGACATATTTGGATCCCTTCTGTGAATCCTCTCTTGTATGGAACTGAGCCTTAAATATCTCGTGTCCATTGACTAGTGCCTCCTTTGTAATTGGACAATCAGGATTTTTCTGTACTGCTTCTTCTTTCTATCCAATGTACCATTAATAAGGCCATTTGTTCAGTTAGGTATGCCAGTACTTCGGAGTGCTCCCTCCACTGACATCCTTGAAAATAAACTTCTGATTTTGCCCTCTAACCCGTCTTTGACTGATTTGGCTTTCTGGATTAGCTAGACACCAAGGGCTCTCAAAACCTGTGATTTTAGTGGAGCTGAAATCACACAATGCTAGTACTTGAAGGTTAAATCATCAGGGGACCTAATGGAACAGAACTGTTTGAACCAACAGTCATTTCTACTAATGAAAGCAATGCATTTTTGAAAAGACTAGCAGATGTAGAAAATAAATGAAATGACAAGAAATCTGGTGAGCATGTCTCAAATGAAATTTTAATCAGAAACTAATCGATTTTGAATAAACATTTACATGAAAAAGAACATTCACAACAGTATGGCTCCAAATTTGAAGGATATAGCATATAAAGTGTCTCAGTACACCTGCATTTAGTAAAGTTTAAAAAGGGACAAATACACACACACATGCAGCATGATCAAAATATGCATGATGTAAGATCATACCCCTCAAAACATTCTACAGGGGTTTCCTTGTGTTCTCATTATTCTTACATTTGCATTCAAAATATTAGTAATACACTTCAATAATGTCATCTGATTTTTTTTACCTCTTCTCTGGTAACTGTCTATTATTGTGTGGTGACATAGCACATTATAAAATCCAAAATCACCAGTTCTTCCCAGAATTCACATAGGGAGGGACCCAATATCAAAACTAATAATAGCACAATAAAATATTTTTAAAACATGGAATTCAGTTTCATCAATTGAGACCAGTTATCTCCGACCCAGCATTTTTTTCAGAGCAGTCTTTATTTCTCTATTTCTCATGCTATAAATGACTGGATTCATCAAGGGAGGAACAATGGAATATATCATAGTCAATGCCAGATCAAGTTGTGATGTGGAATCTGAGGTGGGCTTCAAATAAGCCAAGGAACCAGTCAGCAGAAATACAGAGCAAACTGTGAGATGTGGGATGCATGTTGAGAATGCTTTTTGCTTTTTCTGCACAGAAGACATTTTTATTACTGCAATGACGATGTACACATAAGTCATAAAAATAAAAACAAAACAGCTTGTTGCAACCACACCACTTAGCACAATAAATCCAGGTTCAATCGGGTAGAAGTCAGAGCAGGCAAGCTTTATTAAATGTGGGATCTCACAGAAAAATTGATTGACAACATTGCAGCAAAGAGGGGGTACAAAGGTGCCTACAGTGTGTAATACTGCACAGAACAAACTAGCAACCCATACAGAAGTAACCATTTGAAGGCAAGCATGCCTAGTCATCAGCATCTCGTACCGTAAAGGATTGCAAATGGCAACATACCGATCATAGGCCATGACTGTCAGAAGAAAGAAATCAGATCCTACAAAGAAGATATAGAGCAGCACTTGAGTGACACATCCAGAATAAGAAATGTGTCTGGCATTCATGAGAGCATTAGCCATAGATTTGGGTAAAATGACAGAAACTTGTCCCACATCTTGTACAGCCAAGTTCATCAGAAAGAAGTACATGGGTGCATTTAAGTGGTAATCTGAGATAATTGCAGAGATTATCAGAAGGTTCGCTACCACTATTCCCAAGTAAATGATAAGGAATCCAACAAAATGTAGAATCTTCAGCTCCCAAACCTCCGAAAATTCCAGGAGAAGGAACTCTGACAGAGATGATTTATTAATAGATCTTTGGTCTTTAAAACTCATTTTGTCTGTGGGCGGAAAGAGAAGAACCGTTTTTAAAATAACCATAAGAGAAGTGAGGATGCAGCACTTTCATCTTAAACTCTGGTAGGTTTTTTTTTTCTTATTGATATTGTTATTATATTTGCAACCATTTCGTGCAGATGATATTCATTCTGTATTTTATTAGAAAGTTTCAATTTTGAAGGAAATAACGCTCCAAATAATTCATTGCGATGACAGGAGGTGGGGAAGGATGTTTTGTGGTTTGATAGTTTAGATCCACAAAATGTGTTCTGGGATGTTTGAACAATTTGTGAAAGTCAAGTGAATTATTGCATCACTACATTGCATTAAATCAGAAAGTTATGAAAAATTGAGAAATGAGAGCTCAATAGAACTGGCTAAGGAATGGCTACAGAGACCAAAATAGAAAAAAAAGAAAAGAACAGGAGAAGGGAGAATGTGAAAACTGATAAAAGAGATAGGATGTAGTGTGGATCAAAAAGTCTGAAATTTAAATTAATATTTCATCAATGTATTGTCGAAGGCTTTCATGGCCAGAATCACTGGGTTGTTGTCGGTTTTTCGGGCTGTATGGTCATGTTCTAGAAGCATTCTCTCCTGACATCAGCCATAGCAGAGCACCTGATGAACCAACCTGGACATAGCATATTATTTGAGAACAAAAAAATGCTGAACCAGTCTAACAACCACCATGTCAGGCTACACGGAGAAGCCATTGAAATCCACACGCAATTTCAACAGAATTTCAACAGAAAGGAAGAAATTCAACAGAATTTCAACAGAAAGGAAGAAACCATGAAAAGGAACAAAATCTGGCTACTAGTATTAAAATTATAACAGTAAATAAAGAAGAAAACTCAAACATGGTAGAACTCTAGACAAGAAACAAAAGGAACAGCTAATCACCTCTCAACAAAGGATTCCCCCAGGCAGGACCAAACCACACCTAAAAACTGTCAGGTCATCAAATGCTAATCAAGGTGGCCAATTGAAACATTCATACCTATCTCCAACAGACAAGTGTTCTTTCCCCCACCCTGGACTTTCCACAGATATATAAACCCAATTATCTGAGTTTTCAACAGACCTCACAACCTCTGATGATGCCTGCCATAGATGCAGGCAAAACGTCAGGAGAGAATGTTTCTGGAACATAGCCATACAGCCCAAAAAACCTACAACAACCCAATATTTCATCAAATCACAGACCCAGTATTTTATGCCATAATTTCACATTAAACTTTTTGAACTTTTTAATCAAAGCACTTCTGATTCCTGGAAATGTTGTGCCCGAGAAGGAATCTCAATATTAACTTAAAACATATTTTTAACAGTATCACATACACAAAGTACAAAAATCCATTGTGCTCCATGGGCCCTTACTGCCAGGTAAACAGATATAGAAATACAGCCCAAATAACATTCCTGTTACAGGGCTTAATAGTGATTATCCAAAGAGCTGTAACCAGAAGTTTAATTGGGGCTGAATACAGGGAGTGAACAACCCTGTTTTGCAATAGCTCCACTGGCTGCCAGTTTGTTTCCAGACATAACTTAACATGTTGGTTATGACCAGCCATAAATGACTCAGGTTCAGGTTATTGACAGATCATATCTCCCTGTATGAGCCTGTTTGAGCCCCAAGATCCTCAGGATAGTCCCTTCTCTCAGTTCCCCCACCATCACAAACTTGATTTGTGGGAACACGAGAGAGTGCCTTTGTGGTGGCTGACCTTTGACTGCAACTTCCTGGCAAGAGAAATCAGAATAGACCCCTTCCTGCAGTCCTTTTGGAAAAAGCCTAAAATGGTTTTATTCTGGCAGTTGTTTAGACATCAAATCAAGATATACTACCCTACTCATGTATCTCACTCAGGGTTTTTATCATTTGCAATTGACCCAGCCCACTGTGCTCAACTTTCAGCTTTCTGTTATTTTATTTCATAACCTGTGTTTACCTTGTATTGTTCTGTTTTATTTATATTTTGTTTGATGTTATTATTTGTTGTATATATTCTTTTTTGCTTTGAGATAGATAGATTTTATTATGGTCCAGAGACCCTTATTACACTGTAGCACTTCTTGTAGCTTTTTACCCTTGTTTTTAGCCAACATGCATTTTAAGCAGCTTTTACTATTTTGAAATTTTATCCACTGGATGTTCTTAATCTCATTAGCTGTATAACTTGCTTTGTTATAATTGTTGGGCTTGGCCTCAGGTTAGCCGCCCCGAGTCCCCTTGGGGAGATGGTGGCAGGGTATAAATAAAGTATTATTATTATTATTATTATTATTATTATTATTATTATTATTATTATTATTATTTTGTTTTATGCATTTTACATACATTTTAATAGTTTAAACTATTTAGTTTTACATAGTCCTGAGTTTAATTCTATTTTAGAGTTGATAGTCTTTAGGTTTTAAATTCTATATTGCATTACTTTTAGCAGTGTTCACTGCTTTAAGTCTAAGAGAAAGAGTGTCATATAAATATACTCATCATCGTAACAACATGACAATAATAATGTAGGAACTAATGCAACCTACTACCTTAATTCATGCTATAAGCCACATGCCTACAATAAATATCTAAAAATCTTCCAGCATTCCGATTAGCAAATCATAAAAACTAAAGTATACAACTTCAAGTTAGTCAAAAGTAAAAGTAAAGAAACACTATTTTCTTCAGCTATCTCTTACCTTCAGATGTACATTATGATCCAACAAGGGTAGACTGCAATTCTCTCTACAGAAATAAAGAAGTTTACTTCTCCTCCTCCACTTTGATCTGTTATGAAGCATTTGTTCTTTTGCACATGAGATGTATTTATCTGTTTCCTAAGCTTCTGGAGCCTTAATCCCAGGGGTGACCATTAAGATTCAGCAGTAAAAGTGTGTTAGATCAAAAAATGGGCTTTCCCCTTGATATTTAACTGCTATAGTTAGGAAAGATTTGCCAAACTTAGGCACTTGAACATCACGGAAAAGTAAAGAAAGTATACTTTTCACAACATAAGATACTTAAAGTAGTTCTCATTATTTCTAGGGAAAGGCTGTCACACACACTGGTCATGCAGATGCAAGACACAAGTGCCCTTCCAAAGTAGTCCATAAATTCTTCTTTTCACTTGTCTGAGGAATTGTTGAGCTTACATAAAGTTGTTTCTCCTTCCTTGAGACAAACTGAATCTTTTTGAGAGGTCATGCAAGCAAGGACCACCAAATGGAATAGAATAGTTTTATTGTCATTATACTATTGCACAATGAAATTAAGACCTTTGCCCAGCACACATTAAAAAACAGCACACCCATTCTTTCACACTCCAACCATGACAACACAGCCCCCAATGCCACATCAGTGTGAAACCATGGAGTTCAATTTAGTTACAGCTCTATGATAAAAGCTATCTCTCAGTCTGTCCTTGTCTTTGTTACCCTATACCATCTGCCAGATCTACAAGAAAACTGGTACAAGATGATGTACCAGTGGTACACCACACCACAAAAATTGGCTAAATTTTATAAAAATGTAAAAGATTGTTTTTGAAAATGTGGCACTCAGACTGGAACCTTCTTCCATATGTGGTGGGGGTGTAAAATTGCCAAAAGTTATTATAAAATAATCCATTAAAACATTCAGAAAAATTTAAAAATAAAATTTCAATTGGAACCTGAATATTACTTATTAGGGATAACAGACATTAATTTAAACAAGAATCAAGATATCCTATTCAATTATATGATAACTGCAGCCAGAATCGTGTTTGCTAGACATTGGAAGACAAGAGAAAACCCAACGGAAGAAGAATGGAAACTAAAAGTAATGGATATAAAGAATATGGATAGACTAATTGACTTTCTGAAAGGACATCAAGGCAAACCCAAATGCCCTACAGATTGGACTTTATTAGACATATTTTTCAAAAAAAAAAAAACCAGATGGACATGATGTAATTATGAGAAGAAAGAGAGACTAATACAATTTACATGCAAAAGATCAATCTCCCAGACAGAAAAATAATTCAGAAGTAAACAAGAAGATATTATTTTTATTTTTACATATTTTTTACAATTTTTCTTTTTCCCTTTTTTCTTTTTTCTTTTCAATAAACTTTTTTCTCTTTTCTCTTTTTTTCCTTTTTGCCCCATTCTTTTACCTTTCCTTCCCCCCCCCCCACCCCCAGCCCTTCCACTCCAATCTCCATTAGTAGGGAAACTTCCAGTTTTTAAATGCTGTGTGTTATTGTTATTGTTTATTGCTTGTTGTGTGTTTTTTTTGAGTTTTTATTTTAACTGTTTTGTATTGATTATTTTTTATCGCTTTTGTTTATTGATGTGCTGTGGGCTTGGCCTCATGTAAGCCGCACCGAGTCCCTTGGGGAGATGGTAGCAGGATACAAATAAAGTTATTATTATTATTATTATTATTATTATTATTATTATTATTTAACCATAGTTAGCTTCTTCCTCTTTCCCACCAGTCAAACTTTCCCCCTCCCTATTATCCCCCCCCCCCCCCCGAACAACTGCCTGAACATCAAGCAAAAAGTGGGTGTTAGAAACAATATCATACTAAAGCTGACTGGCACAACCTGGGGATCACAACCAGACACAGTGAAGACATCTGCCCTTGCACTATGCTACTCTGCTGCTGAGTAAGCATGCCCAGTGTGGAACACATCTCACCACACTAAAACAGTAGATGTGGTTCTTAATGAGACATGCCACATTATCACGGGGTGTCTACACCACCCTACACCACTGGAGAAATTACACTACTTAGCCAGTATTGCACCACCTGACACCCGTCGGGAAGTAGCAGCCAATAGTGAAAAGACCAAGGCAGAGACATCTCCAGCTTATCCCTGTTTGGGTATCAGCCAGCACGTCAATGACTTAAATCTAGAAATAGTTTTCTAAGATCTACAGAGACACTCGCTGGAACACCTCAGCAAGCGAGAGTCCAAAAGTGGCAGACTCAAACCCAGAACCTCAACCAATGGCTGATACCAAATGAGAGACTCCCCCCTGGGCACACAGAAGACTGGGTGACTTGGAAGGCGCTGAACAGACTGCGCTCTGGCACCACGAGATGCAGAGCCAACCTCAAGAAATGGGGCCACAAAGTGGAATCCACGACATGCGAGTGTGGAGAAGAGCAAACCACTGACCACCTGCTGCAATGCACCCTGAGCCCTGCCACATGCACAATGGAGGACCTTCTTGCAGCAACACCAGAAGCACTCCAAGTGGCCAGATACTGGTCAAAGGACATTTAACCAACTACCAAACTTGCAAATTTTGTGTTTTGTCTGTTTGTTTGTTTTGTTCTGTTAGAAATGTAATACAGTTGACTAGTTGCCCTGACACGACAAACAAACAAACAAATCCCCCCCTTTCCCCCCTCTTTTTATTTTTCTTTTCTCTTTTCTTTTCCCCTAAAAATTCTATAAAACTACTTTTTAAAAAATGGTACAATCTCTGCTGAATCTATTGGGATCCACCAACATTGCCTCCTCATGTTCTGCAACCACCATGGCTCTTCATGCTGATGCTGTTTCTCTAAAGCAGAGGTCTCAATTTTTTTCATCTGTGGAGCTCTTTTTGAAGGAAATGTATGCATATACATAAGGTATTGGCAAACTTTTTGCCGCATTGTGCTTTAAAATTTGACACATGGGCCAGGCCAGTGGCAGAGGAATAGAGTGTGTTTGTGTGAACTAATAATAATAGTAATAGGTGCATCCCCAGGGAGCATCCAGTCTAAACCCCTTCTGCAATGCAGGAAAAGCACAATCAAAGCACCGCCAATAGGTGACCACTCAGCCTTTGTAATAATAATAGTAATAATAATAATAATAATAATAATAATAATAATAGGAGCAACCTCATGTCCCTTTAGTTCAACTCCTTTCTGCCATGCAGGAAAAGCACAACCAAAGCACCACTTGAGTGGTGAGAGGGAAATAGTATTTTGGAAGCAAGGAAGGTGAGAGGGAAATTATCTGGGTAATGAGGAACGTGAGAGAAACATTATTTTGGTGGCAAAGGAGGGAGGCTTTTGGCATGAGGGGGCTGAGGGGGGAAAGGCTTTTGTCGGCAAGGGAAGTGGGGAAATGCTTTTGAGGATGAGGGAGGAGGAAGAGCAGGAAAGAAGAGGGAAAGTTTGGAGGAGGATGTTGAGGAGGAGGGAGGAGGAGGGTACCATGGAGCACCTCAGTATGCTTTGTGGAGCCCAAAGGGCTTTGCGGAGCACACTTTGAGAACCACTGTTTTAAAGCATGAAGTTGAAACATAATCACCAGCTATCCATCTTCAACACAGCTTCACTAGAAATCTTCCTAGATACCAGTTTTACTATTCCATCTTCAAGAATTAACTTTTTGTTGCTTGGAAGTTGTTATCACCCTTTTTATTATGTGTCATTTTTACAGAATTGTACTTAAAACTTTAAAATGTTAAACCATATCCAATTTTATAACTTACATTGCACAAAATGTATATAACATTCTTAAAACTAAATTAATTTGTGTTCAAATTAAAATATACAATATAATTGAAACATAATTAAATGATATTAGAATTAAAAGCATTTTCATTGAAAAACGACAACTAACAAACAACACAGTCAATTCAGAAAGACTCTGATTTGTATCTGAGAATGATGAGAGTCCAAGGCAAATGAAAAATGAAAAAGATTAATCTCAGTTTTGTTATTGAGCTGTATATCTCTTTCCTTTCTGGACCTTCACACATTTGCCAACATATATACTGTCCACTTAAAATTCACAGAGATTTTTTGATAAACAGCATGAAGGAAAAATATAAAAGGTTAGAAAAAAATAGTGTTTATTTCAGTTACAGAACATTGATTGATGATAAGTGCAACAAGTAGTGTCTGGCTACTAAGTTCTGACCAAAGCAGAGAGAGAGAGAGAGAGAGAGAGAGAATTCATTCCTGTGGTCTGGTCAATGGGCCCTATACTTTCACTCATGCAGACATTTCCTATGCCATAAATATTATAATTGGGGGTTTATTTTATGTAAAATTCTCATGTTTTAGGTTCATTGCATTAGAAAAAGTATTTTCTCTGTAAAAATCACATTTTCTATGCAGAAATTAATATTTCAATGTTGAGTTTTTTCCACATGGAAAAGGCTGTTTCCTGTACATAAAGTTCTGATTTTTCTACTACACAATCACTTGCAAATTTTGTGCAAAATAAGTCCCAAATTACAAAGATTCTTATAAATCCAGATTTTTCTCATCATTTTGTAAACACTAAAAAAACATGTTTTTCAACCATTTAACAAGGACAGGTTAATCCAGGAATACTCAAAGGGCACATGCCAAAGACTGAAAGTTAAATAGGATCTAATGGAACAGAACTGATTAAACCATTATCTTGGCATCCCATTGAAATCAATACATATCTTGAGATAAAAACATGATGAACATAAATGAAAAGACAATAAACATAAAAACCATTATTCAAATTTCATTTTTTGTGATATACATTGTTTATTTTGAAATGCAATTTCAATCTATGAGTGACTGAGCTTTTAAATGTTGAAGATAAGTTGAGATGCAAAATTATTTTTCCTTTTCAAACCAATAATCATGATTGAGTCTATCTCTGAAACATAATAGGCCTTTTCTACATATTTTACAAAAACCATGATAATAATCTATTGTTAAAAGGAAAAAAAAGATTGCAAGATGTATGAATCCTCTTCTATCATGTTGAGACATATCATATTGTGTATTTTAAATATATTTAATATACATTCAAGGCATAACAGAAAAATATAATGAACATAGAGGAAATAATATTTCGGGTCAATTTTGAAAACACCATGTCTTGTTGAAATTATTAATGTGATAAGGAAATGTGCTGTATATATAGAATCAAAGAGTTGGAAGAGATTTAATGGGCCATCCAGTCCAACCCCCTGCCAAGAAGCAGGAATATTGCATTCAAATCACCCCTGGCAGATGGCCATCCAGCCTCTGTTTAAAAGCTTCCAAAGAAGGAGCCTCCACCACACTCTGGGACAGAGAGTTCCACTGCTGAACGGCTCTCACAGTCAGGAAGTTCTTCCTCATGTTCAGATGGAATCTCAGTTTTATAAGTTCTATCATATTTTATCATAATTATTAACTGTATTGTTATATGTGTCTTATTTTAACTTACTACATAGAATGCAATCAAGTCTTATCAAGCCTTGTTGTTTGGTTTGGTATGACCTAAGGGCTAATCAATATTTATTTATTTATTTATTATTTACTGTATTTGTATACTGCCTTTCTCAGCCATATCAAGGCAGCTTCCAACAAAACAGTATACATAGTATCACAACACAATTAAAAACATTACAATTACATAAACCACAACAACAATAAAAATAACATCATTGGCATCTCCTTATTGCAAAGCATTGTCCAATTCCATCGTCAATAAAATTACTACTACTACTACTACTACTATTATTATTATTGAATTTATTAATAATTAGCCTTCCATGTTACACACACCTACTTTTTCTCTTTGTCTGGATCCCAGATTATCTGCTTATCCCAGATTATCTGGTAGTGTAGATTCATATAATCCAGTTCAAAGAAGATAATCTGGGATCAGATCCAGGGGTATAGGGCAGCATAGATCCAGCCTGTCTCCCTCTTCTGGAAAAAAAGTTCATTATTCTGAGGGAACATTGCCAAGTCTTATTAATTAAATATTCCAAAATTTACAATTCCTTCCAGAATTCATATGGTAGATATAAGCAAAACAAATAATAGTATACAAGTATAGTCATAGAGAGAAATCAGCATTGCAAAATTAGATTTCTGAACCTCAAACTCAGTAGTGTTCTCACAGCATTCTTTATTTCCTTATTTCTCATGCTATAAATTACTGGATTTATCAAAGGTGGGACTATAGAATAAATCATTGCCAGTGCAAGATCAGGGTCTGTTGGGGAATTAGAGGTGGGTTTCAGGTAAGCCAAGAGTCCTGTAACTACAAATATGGAGCAAACAGTAAGGTGTGGAAGGCAAGTTGAAAAAGCTTTTTGTCTTGTTTGTATAGAAGGCATTCTCATAACTGTAGTAAAAATGTGCACATAAGTCACAATAATAAAAATAAAACAGCCAAATAGAACCATAGCACTGAGAAAAATAGCTCCAACCTCAACTAGATACAGGTCAGAACAGACAAGTTTCAGTAAGTGTGGGAGTTCACAAAAAAACTGATTCACAACATTGGAGCAGAAGGAAGGAGCAAAGGTGCCTCCGGTGTGTAAAACTCCATAGAACAAATTAATGACCACTACAGCAGTAAGCATCTGAAGGCAAGCTTGTCTATTCATCACTACCTCATATTGCAACGGATTGCAAATCGCAACATACCGATCATACGCCATGACTGTCAGAAGAGAAAAATCAGATGCTACAAAGAATGTATAAAAGAAAACTTGAGCAACACATCCACAATAAGAAATGGATCTGGTGTTCATGAGGGAATTGGCCATGGATTTTGGGAAAATGACTGAAACTTGTCCCACGTCTTGTATGGCCAAGTTCATCAGAAAGAAGTACATAGGGGTATGCAAGTGATAGTCAGAGATGATTCCAGCAATGATGAGAATATTTCCTGCAGCTGTTGTTAGGTAAACTGTAAGCAATGCCCCAAAGTACAAAAGTTTAATCTCCCAAACCTCTGAAAATTCCAGGAGAAGAAACTCAGACAGAGAGGATTTATTTATAGGCTTTTGCTCATCAATATCCATGTTGGTTGCCTGTGGAGGGAAACAGATAAACAGTTGTCAAAATAGCCATAAGAGGTGTGGAGATGCAGTACTTGCAGTTTTAATTAAGGGGCTTTTTGTTCTGTTCTTACAGATATCATGCTTACCAATATGCAACATGCCTCTATTTCATTTAAAGCAATATTTCAAACGTAAGATCAATGTGCATAGCAATACAAGCATTGCTTGGGTGTACTGGTTTGGGGGAGAACATTCCCAAGCTCTAACTCTCTGCGAGATCTTTGCCGGTAAAGGTTTTGGGAATGGACGGTTAACCAAAAGTGAATCCAAAAGGAAAAGAAGTCAGATTGATGACTTCAAAAATAAATATTTCTTAATTAAGAAGACAGTATTCATATGGCTAGTATCTACTCACCTTGGCTTTAGACAATATCTTTCTACTGCTGTTGTCCCACAACAATCATTGTCATACTGCACTTGTCACCATATCAACAAGTTTTACATTTTATTGCAATTTTACATATACATTTGCTCATTAATGGCTATAATAATTTGTCCTTAGGAACTTCACTCCATGCACCTTATAAAGTAGACTTGTCTACAAAAGTTAATGTACCATCTTGCTTCTCCAGTTAATGTCATAGGCTTATAAGATAGCTTTTCAGACTTATTCAGACTAACAGGGTTACGAAGACACACACATACAGATACTGAAAAGGACAATTGGTGTATTATAGGGCATCAGTGGAAAAAATAATCTATATAGAACAGTGGATCTCAACCTGTGGGTCCCCAGGTGTTTTGGACTACAACTTCTAGAAATCCCAGCCAGTTTAGTAGCTGTTAGGATTTCTGGGAGCTGAAGACCAAAACATCTGGGGACCCACAGGTTGAGAACCACTGATCTAGAAGATTGTCATTATCAAATCATTATTTGGCAATGAAAATCAAGAGTTAAGACATAAATGGTAACTTACTATTCCAATATATAAAGCAGGAAAGAGCAATATCTCAAAAGTACAGCAAAGCATAGAATTTTGAACAAAAGTTTCAGAATCAGAATGTGGAAATAATAACTGATTAAAGGTCTAGTCAACCATTGCTAGTCAGTTTAAGTATTATTACGCTTGCTAGAACAATGCTCTAATTTGGTTTAAGACAGCTTTGAATGTCACAGTGGTTATATATATTAAACCAGAAAAAAGATTATGAAAAATGGAGAAGTAAGGAGAACAGAGAATGCTAAATCTGGTAAAAGCGAAGCTTGTATCTGATGCGCAGACATGGCTAAAACATAAATATATACTAAAGACTACCAGGATCAAAAAGTGTGAAATTAAAATTAATTCTTAATGAAAGGAACAATTTTCTACCAATGCATAGTTCCTCTCTTTCCTGAAAATTCTTCAAGTGAGGTGCCCAAGAAAATATCTCCATATTAACTCAAAATATATTGTTTACATAGTAACAAAGAAGTAAAACCTAGTATGCTCAGTGGGCCTTACTTCCATGGACACAAATGTAAGATTGCAGCCCAAATGACATTTATATGGCAAGGCTTAAAAGGAACGGTGTAAGAATTCGTGCAAAGTGTCACCTTAGTTCATACCTTGAGCCACATGCCTGAATGCAGCAAACATCTAAAATTCTTCCATCATCCCAGTGAGTAAGTCCTATAAGCTAAATTATACAATTTTAAGGTAGTCAAAAGAAAGAGTAAAAATATGGAAGAGTAAATAACACAGAGCAGAAGGAAAGGAACAGGGATACTAGTAGTCAATACAAAAACAATTGAGAAACCTCTGGAACTTTGAGAAAAGTTTCAAGCCACTATATTCTTCACAGCTTTCTCTTACCTTCTGATATACCTTCTTCTCCAATAGTGTTACATGCCTGCAACTCTGCCTAGACATCACTCGTGCCACTTTATATTCTTCTCTACTTCAACCTACACCTTTTATGCAGTATTTGTTCTCTTATGGGGAAGATCTATTCATTCCTCTCTCTTGAGCTTCTGGAGGTTTGCTCCCAGGGGTAATAATCATCATGATTCAGAAGTAAAGGTGTATTAGAAAAAAATGTGTTTCTAGACTGATACCTAATTTGTTAGTTTAGACATCTAAAAATCACTTTGTGTAACCATCATTGTTTCAAGGGGGTAGCAGCCACATATACAATATTTATGCATACATAATGGCAAGTATTCTTTCAAAGTGGTCCATGCACTGTTCTACACATAAGCAAGAAAAAGGAAATTTCCTTAGTTACTGTGAGTTTTCCAGGCTGTATGGCCGTGTTCCAGAAGCATTCTCTCCTGATGTTTCACCCACATCTATAGCTGGCACCCTCAGAGGTTGTGAGGTCTGTTGGAAACTAGGCAAGTGAGGTGTATATATCTGTGGAATGCCAAGGGTGGGAGAAAGAAGTCTTGTCTGTTTGAAGCAAATGTGAATGTTGCAATTAGCCAGCTTGGTTAGCATTGAATAGCCTGGCTGCTTCCTGCCTAGGGAAATCCTTTGTTGGGAGGTGTTAGCTGACCCTGATTGTTTCCTGTCCAGACAATGGCTCTTGGTGAGGTTACTTTAATTTGTGAGGGTTTTGTGGGGGTTTTGTGGAAGGAGTGGGGGTTATCTTGCCTCTCTGGGCTCCATGAGCCCAAAAGGTGCGAGACGGGTGTATGGACAATTGCACAGGTAGTCCCCCTGGGTCTGTCCACACAGGGCCCATAGCCCATTAGACCTGGGCTTTTCACAAAGGTGCGAGTCTAATAGGCTATCAAATTAAATTCAGGATAAAGCAGGGTTTTCAAGATAAAGCATGTTTAGATATCTCCAGTAAAAATGCGAGGTATCCTGGGATATGGGCCCTGTCTGGATGGGACCTAGATCCTCCAGTGCAACCCGATCTTGTGCTTCCAGCCCAAATGTTATCAAGATATAGGATTCATTGTTATCCAAAGCTGCAGATATCCACAAAGTGTCTTGGAAGTATTCTTTGTGGATTAGGAGAGGGGTCTTACTATATACCGTGTTAGCTAATTTTATATATTAAAACCTGCACACCTTGATTGGGTATATTCCAAATTAGTAATTAAGAATGACTAATGTAGCTGATGAGAATAATCTTTGGGAGGCAAATGAAACAATGGCAGTAGACATGGCTGGGTATTCAACAACTATTTATTTCCAATTTCTTTTGAAGAAAACAAGTTTATATTATCTCCAGTTTGTTTGGATTGTTCTTGCTCATTGACCAGATTTTAAAGAAAAGTAATTTAAATTTGAATCAATGAATTTCCGAAATTGTCACAAATGCATGTAAATCTTTCAATATATAAGACAAAGTCTACTTTGTCTATCAATTAATCTCAGGAGGTGCTAGAATGATAATGTCATTGGGAGTCCCAGGACCCTTCCACGCAGCTAATAAAATTCCACATTATCTGCTTTGAACGGGAAAATATGATAGTGTGGATTCAGATAACCCAGTTCTGCCTTGATATTGTGGGCTATATGGCTGTGTGGAAGGGCCCTCGGTTACAGTAAACATGAAATTGTTACCATTTTGACTCACAGGACAAGGTATATAGGCTTTTTATCTTTATATTTATTGCAATCTTTATATATTCCTGAGGAATTATGCACTTTTCTATCTTTATGCTTCCACTTTCTCCCTATATAGCTGTCCTTGGGCCCTTCCATACAGTCATATAAACCAGAAGGCAGAAAATCCCACAATATCTGCTTTGAACTGGGCTGAGTACACACTGCCATATATTCCACTTCAAAGCAAATAATGTGGGATGTTATTCAGCGGTGTGGAAGTAGCTATTGTTTATAAAGACATTGAAATTCACTCAGGGCAGAGACTTAATTATTAGGATGAGTATATGTTATTATATCATATCAAATGCTTTATAAATAAACGAGCTTCAATAATCTAATTATAGCCTTTATGAAGTATGAAAATCATGATCAAAAACTGAGCATGAACCATTCACAAAGTTCTTCTGTGAAAAGATAGAAATGCACATGAGTTTTTTTAATCCAAAATTTTCATTGTCTAATCAGTCAACCTGTTTTGTGCATACAACAACAATTTTCAGAGGGGGCATCTAATGTGCATAAAACCAGTTTTCAGCACAGATAAATATCTGAATAGAAAATAAAAATTATGTAGAGAAAATGCTATTTTCCCTGCAGGAGATGTATTTTGTACAGAAAAAAATGTATTTTCTGTGCAGAGAAGGATGTTTATTGTGTAAGAAAGTACAATTTTCTGTGCAAAAACCAAGAGGAAAAAGTACCAAACTAGGAGTTTGCACCTATCTTGGATTTTCAGCACTCAATAAATCCTCCTTCCACACACACTTACACACACATATTATTCCCTGAATACTAGGGAAAGTCTATAGGGTTTAACTTGGAACAAAAAAATTGCAATTCAGATATTTTCCCCCTGAAAATTAATAAGGGATGCAACTTTCAGATGTTCATCCTTACATACAAAAAGTGCCTAAAAATACAAATTCCAATAAGAATTTTCTCTTCATTTGACTACTAATTACAAGTTTGCAGACAATAAACTTTTTTTAGAATGTGCTGTGCCTCCAATTCAGCAGTTCCAATTAATGCATTTTTGTCTCCTTGTTTCTTATGCTGTAGATTACTGGATTCATTAAAGTTGGGATCATGGAATACATCATAGTCAATGCAATATCAGGCTGTGATGGAGAACCTGAGGCAGGATTGAGGTAAGCAAAACACCTAGTAAATAGTTATATGGAGAAAACAATGAGATGAGGAAGGCATGTAGAAAAAGCTTCCTGTATTCTCTGCACAGAAGTAATTGTCAACACTACAGTGAAGATATAAACATAAGTCACAACAATGAAATTAAAACAGCTTACTGCAATCAGAACACTCAAAATGACAACAGTGTCAATCAGGTGCATGTCAGAGCTGGCTGGAATTTCTGGGAGTTAAAATCCAAAACACCTGGAGGACTGAAGTTTGCCCAGACCTGGTCTAAAATAAAACTAATTGCAACTTAATCTAAATAAGACAGAGGTGCTTGCCACCAAGGGTCTTAATCTGGGGGTAGCGATGTGTCAACCGGTTCTTGGGAGTGCTCCTGGATCCGTCTTCTCCAAAAGTCAGACCAGGTAGAAGCAAGGGTCAGTGCTTACTAGAGTTGTGCAATTTAGCACAAAACCATTATTATTATTATTATTATTATTATTATTATTATTATTATTATTATTTCATACATTTTCTATCCCACCCTTCTCCCCACAAGGGGGACCTCACATAAGCATCAGACGATGCTAACAACATATACACCATAAGAATTACAATTAAAACAGTAAAATAATTTTAAAAACATTATACAAAATCATCAATAAACTCATTTAACAATAAATTGACGTGCCAGTAAAACCAAAACCAAGCCAGTAAAATCCAATGTCGCAAAAACCCCAAATTCCTTTTCCTATTGCCACTGTCCTCTAGTCGAATGCCTGGCCCCAGAGCCAGGTCTTCAGTTGTCTTCTAAAGAACAGGAGGGAGGTGGCCAACCTGATGTCCTTAGGGAGAGAGTTCCACAGATGGAGGGCCACTGCCGAGAAGGCCCTGTCTTTTGTCCCCACCAACCGCATTTGCAAGAGTGGTGGGATCGAGAGCAGGGCCTCTCCGGACAATCTTACGCTTCGTGATGGTTCATAGCAGGAGATACGTTCGGATACCATGCCATTTTTTGGTTCTGTTTTTGTATAACCCCTGATTCCGTTTGCTGGGAAATTGTCCAAATTGGGGGGAGGGTGCCATTTTCATTTGGCAAAGATTTGGCAAAGATTTAGATGCTCAATACTCAGTCATTTGCAGACCTATCTGCATGAAACGTACCTCACTTTTAGACTCCATTTACAACTGCAAGCCTGTAAATTCACTAATCTACCAATTTGTTTTAGAATTATTTAAAGTTTTCACCATAACATCTTTTAAAATAAGACAAACCATAAGACAAGGTTCTGGGAATTGTAGTCACTAGTTGTGTCTATTCTCAGCCAATCAGCGCGCGGACACAAACAGTCCTTTCATTGGCTGAGAAACAGAGAGAGAGAGAGAAAAAATTCAACTCCCATCATGCTCTGAGAGTGATGTAGAGGTTTTCATTGCCCATCCCATCCAAGTGTTGCTAGGGAAGTGAGTTCCCAGAAAGACTCTCTCTGGAGGAGGAGCCCAGGGAACTTTTCCAGAAGAAATGGATGCTGCTTCCAAGATTAAGAGATGCTGCAGTTAACCCCATCATTTCCACGAGCCCCTTGCAGCCAACCCTTGCCTTGGGTATATTGCAGTTAACTCCATCATCTCCAGTTACTGAAAAATCCTGCTCTTTGAGTTGTTTCAGCTGGCTTGCAACTCCCCCCCAATCCGGTTTTTGGGAATTTAGTAAACAAATCACCAAATTTTACAAATCACTTTCTGTTCAAACTGATCTGGGCACAACCCTAGTGCTTACTACCAGCTTTGGCTACACCCCTTCCTAGATTTGGAGGACCTAAAGATAGTAATGTATTCACTAGTAACCTCAAGTTGGACTTCTGCAATGTGCTTTACATGGGAAACCTTTGTACCAAGTTTGGAAACTCAAGCTGGTTCAAAATACAGCAGCCAGATTGGTTATGGGAACTTCTAGGAATGAGCATATTACACTTATCATAAAGTTGCTCCACTGATTGCCAATTAGTTTCTGGGCAAAGTACAAGGTGTTGGTTTTGACCTTTAATGCCCTCTATGGTTTGAGTCTAGGTTATCTAGAGGATTGCTTTCTCCCATACGAGCTGCTCTGCATACAATCTGCCCAGCACACTCTTTGGGGAGCAGCTATCCCAGCCTGTCAGAACCCAACTGGCGACTAGCACCCAGAGGATCTTTTCATCAGCTGCCCCAAGACTGTGGAATGACCTGCCGGAAGAGCTCTGACAGCTAAACCAACTGTCAGAATTTTAAAACCATCTAAAGACTTATCTCTTCCACCTGGCCTACCCAGCCAATTTTAAGCATGAAACTTGTGTCCTATGTTTCAATCTCCATCCTGTATATTTAATATGCATTTTATCAAAATACATTATAAAATGCATTGTTTATAGAACTACATTTTAATAGGTGTGTTTATAGATTTTTTTGCAACGCTTGTGTGTTTTGACTGTGCTATAAAACACCTTGTGCCACAAGAAGTGGTGGGTTGTTGTTGCTGCTGTTGTTAAAGCTAAGTGTTATAAATAAGAGAGCAGCAACAATGTGACCCAATCTCAAAAAATGAGGTCCAAATATTATTCATTAAAGCTATACGCAGAATTTACTGAACTAAACACAGAGGGTTTGAGGACAGAACCTCAAACCCAAGAGATTTTTTCAGAGCATTTTTGATCTCCTTGTTTCTTATGCTGTAGATGATTGGATTCATCAAGGGTGGAACCATGGAATATATCATAGTCACTGTCAAATCGAGTGGTGATGGGGAATCAGAGGCAGGCTTGTAGTAAGACAGATATGAAGTAAATATAAATACAGAAAAAACAGTGAGATGGGGGAGGCAGGTTGAGAATGCTTTCTTTCTTCCCTGTCCAGCAGGGAATCTCATGACAGCAGTTAAGATGTGCACATAACTTACAATAATAAACACAAAACAGCCTACTGCAACCACAGCACTCAGCAGAAGAATTCCAATTTCAATCAGGTACAAATTAGTGCAGGCAAGCCTAAGTAAGTGTGGGATTTCACAAAAAAACTGATTGACAACATTGGAACAAAACGGGGATGCAAAGGTGCCTACCGTGTGTAACCCTCCATAGAACAAACTAATAATCCATACAGCAGTAACCATTCGAAGACAAGCATGCCTATTCATCACCATCTCATACCTCAAAGGATTACAAATGGCAACATACCGATCATAAGCCATGACTGTCAGAAGAGAGTAATCAGATGATATAAAGAATATATAAAATAGAACTTGAGTGACACACCCATAATAGGAAATGTAACTGTCATTCATAAGAGAATTGGCCATGGATTTGGGGAAAATGACAGAAACTTGTCCCACATCCTGTATGGCCAGATTCATCAGAAAAAAGTACATAGGAGTGTGCAAGTGATAGTCAGAAGTTATTGCACAGACAATGAGAATGTTTCCTGTTGATGCTGTCAAGTAAAAGACAAGGAACCCCACAAAATGTAGAATCTTTAGTTCCCAAACCTCTGAGAATTCCAGGAGAAGAAACTCTGAAGGAGAAGATTTATTAATTGGACTTTCCTCTTCAGTATGTAGACCCCCCTATGGAAGAAAGAAAACACAACTGACAGTTCTCAGAATGAATATTAAAGAAATGATTGTGCAGTACATGGAGTATAAATTGTCTGTTCATAATATGTTGATAACAATGTTACTGCAGTTGTATTTAAGAAGCCACATTCTGTGTGGATGACACCAAGGCACTAACATATCTGAAAACCTAATTTTTTAAAACAAACAACCCCAAAGTAACTTACATATCCCCTTTCTACATTCCACAATTGAACTTGTCATTTCATCTGTCATTAATATATCATATAGCATCCAGAGATTTGTCATTTTAGCAAATTTCCTACATAATTCTAAATACTTGTTCAAATAAAAAACAGGTTTCTATAGAAAATAATAATAATAATAATAATAATAATAATTATTATTATTATTATTATTATTGAATCTACACGCATCATTCGAAAATAAATCACACACTTGGGAAGTCTTCGACTTGTGATTTTGTGATACGAAATCCAGCATATATATCTCATTTGCTGTGACATTTTTGTGTCAGTAAAATAATAATAATAATAATAATAATAATAATAATAATAATAATAATAATAATACTTTATTTGTATTCTGCTCTATCTGCCCGAGGGGACTCTGGGCAGATTCCAACATAACAATGACAAACATTCAATGCCTTCATAAAACACACTACACTAACACAAAATCCAAAGAAAATCCACATATAAAAGTAACATTAAAACCTAACAACAAATTAAGACCTAATATCAGTAAATACAGATGAGAAAATACATTACAGTTAAAATGCTATCCAACTTCTATCCTCTACAAACGTGGATATAGGGTGCTTCTGCACAGCAGAATTAATGCACTTTAAATTGCATGTTTAAAATCTATAGACCCATGGGAGTTGTAATTTTACATAGCCTTTAGTCCCCTCTACCAGAGTACTGATGCCTCACCAAACTACACCAAACTACAATTTCCAGTTTTTGATACCCAGTCATTTCCAAATCCCCTCTGAATCATGTTCTTCCTAGCCTAATCATGTCAAAATGACATATTTAATGTTGTCAGTTCCTTGACAGCAGTTGATACAGAGGCTTTCATACTTCATAACAAAAATATTACTTGAAGCAAATAGAATTTTTATGATTGTTTATGTGAAAGGCTTATACCCAATCAAAAAGTTAATCCATATATTTATACCCTGATTTTCTCCCAAGGCTAGGATGAGGCATGGTTTACAGACAGAAATCCAAAATTAGTCTGAGCTACAAGAATCTATCTTTTGATATATATTTTTCCTTAAGGAAAACAGTTCAGGGAAAGCACTTGCAAAAACTTTCTGACATTTCCACAGTTGTGGGAACTGGTGTTGAAAAAACTCCTATTGAAAACTTCTACTTTTATGTAATATTTCAGGATTTACTGTTCATAATTGCAAATCAATAATCAGTGGTCAAGTATAAAAGAATAATGGTATTAACTATGCACCCTAAAATCATTTGACCTCCCCATGTTACATAGCAACATTTTCTTTTTGTATACCAGATACCATTTATGATAAAGCTGCAGATTCAAAATTACCACTTACCAGATGACTATTATCAAGTGCTACTCACCAGTACATTCATGAAAGCTAATTTTCACTGAATCTTCCAGTGATGAGAAAAATAAATATCTTTGGTTCTTCAGTTCTCTGATCGTATGTATCATGTGGCACCAATCAGAGATATGTAAACATGTAGCAAACAAATAAGGGATTATGGTCAAGGATGGACAACACAAAAAAATTGGGGTCTTCTTTCCAGACATGTTCCAGTCTTCTTTCCAGACATGTTTGAGTAGGACTAAAATTATCTCTGTTTGATAGCTTAGACAAGTGTTAAATCAGTAGAGATAGCAGTGAGCCAGCTGGGACAATGGTCAGGCACGGTATAAGGTGTATCTCAATGATTCCCTAGATTCAACAAGACAAAAGGTTATGGAAAAAGAAGAATTAAATATTACAAAATAGAATTTGAACAGTTGGTACATAAAATTGTGATTAATCATATAGATGAAATGAAAATAGGTGCCTAACAGCTGATTCAAGAATTACTAGAATGTCATTGTTTTGTTTCAGAGACCAAACATCCAGCGGTATATAAGCCTTTTCTCTCTAAAAATTCTGTTATGAAAATAAATCTGGTTATCTTAATGTGTCTTCAGTTATTGTAGTTGAAAACCTAGAGCTTCAAATAGCATTTGAACAGTGTAGTCTTAACAATGCTTTCTAGGCATAATAAATTCAGGATTGTATGCCCAGATAAATAAGCATAAAAATGGAAATATATACAAATATTTCACCACTCTAACATGCAAGTCACATTACTCAATTATATATAAAAGTTGTCAACAAAGAGATAAACAAGAATAGCAAGTGAAATCATGGAAGAAAAGCCTGATAGAAAATGAAAGTCTTTTTCAGTGTCAGAACATTTTAGGAACAACTGTAAAAATAAAAAGATTGCAAGCCATTTTCCTCACAGATGTTTCTTACCTTTGTTTCCATTATGCTAAATAGCTTTTTACTTCACACAGCAGTCATTCCAGTTTGTAAATGTCTTCCCTTTTGATACATGATTACGAACTTTCCTAAGAATATTTATTCAGCTTTTGGGGATTTTTTCCCAGGGGTGGCCATCATAATTCAACAGTAAAGATACAGGCAAAACAAATTATGTTTCTGGAGTTTTGCTCCCAAGAGTCACCTTTACAGTCCAGCAGTAAAAGGACCCAGAAAAAAAGTTCAATTTCTAACCTCAAACTTCACTGACATATGCATTTAAAAATGATAAAACCTTATTCCTATCAGATGTTAATATGAAGTTATTCCTGAATTCTACTAAATGTGCATTTATACAGGTAGTCCCCAACTTATGAACAAGCTAGGATTTGTAGGTGTGTTCAGTGTAACTCTAGCCAAATATACAGGGTGTCCAAAAGTTTATTTACCAATTAAAAGGTAAAGAGATTTTATGACCCACCCCCCCCCCCACACACACACATATACACATCCTTTTTTTATCTGGGTTGTTGTAGGTTTTTCGGCTGTATGGCCATGTTCTAGAAGCATTCTCTCCTGATGTTCTGCCTGCATCTATGGCAGGTATCCTTACAATAGATCTCACAACCTCTGAGGATGCCTGCCATAGATGCAGGCAAAATGTCAGGAGAGAATGCTTCTAGAACATGGTCATACACCCCGAAAAACCAGTGATTACAGCCATTATTTATTTATCGTGTCATCAGCAACCATTGTATTACAATTCTAACAAAGCAAAACAAACACACAGATTAAAAAGAAAAAGGGAAAAAAACACACACACATTTTGCAAATTTCCAAGGTCACGTGGCCAGCATGACTGCATAAAGTGCTGTTAACTTCCTGCCAGAGTGGTACCTATAGATCTACTCACATTTGCATGTTTTCTAACAGCTGAGCTGGCAGTAGTTGGGGCTAACAGCGGTAGCTCACACCACTCCCCAGATTCAAACCTGCAACCTTTCGATCAGCAAGTTCAGCAGCTTAGACACTTTTTCCCCATGATAACTCTTTCAGGAGTGAATTTCCCTCCCTTGGGAAAATTTCTCTTAATTCCCGTTGTCTCACCCCCATTTGTAACTCTGAGTGATTTGTAAGTCAGATGTTTGTAACTCGGAGACTGCTTGTACTTCATTAACTCAATATAAGGGGTATGCATGGTTTTTTACAGAAGCATAGTACCATTCTGAGTAAAGTCAGAGCACCCAAAAAAATCTCATTTTATCATAGTGAACCATACAAGACAAGCTTGCTACCAGCTGGACATGTCCCACAAAGCCAAGAAGCACCACCAAGCCATAAAAGAGTGTGTGTTCTACAACAAAACTACTCCTTTTAACATAAAGACATATTTTAGTATTATTCTCCTCGTTACTTCTGGGGAAACCTCCCAACACAAGGTATCTGCCAAAGGCCTCATCTATCCTGCTGGGCATCACAATTAACTAAGATGTAGTAATATATCTAATATATACCTACTAGTGTTAAGTGCCAGATGTTTCTTGGACAATGAGAGAAAAGTTCCCCATTTGGAAAGTGAAAGGATATAGGTTTTAAACCATCTGTTTTGCCTTTACATACCCTGAATGGAAAAAAATGGCATATCCTATAGCTGTAGTTATACAGTATATGCTGTTCCGGTTCTGGACAAAGTCAAGCCAGTTTGCATGGACTACACTCAAGCACAATTCCTCTGCCCCACCCCCCACCCCCGGGTTAGGCCTAGGTATTATAAGAAAGATTGCTGTGACAGAAGACTTGGTTGCTTTTGTTATGTTCCTTTGAGTTGTTTCTGATGTATGACACCAACAGGTCACCACAAGGTTTTGTTCTCAAACTGTTCATAAGGAGTGCCTTTACCTTCCTTTGAGGGTTAGAGAATGGGACTTGGCCAAAGAAATCCAATAGATTTCAGCCAGGTTGCTAACTGAGGTTGGCTACAGGGAGCGGACAACCTCCTCCCTGGCAGTAGCTCCACTGGCATCCAGTCTGTTTCCGGGCACAATTCAAAGTGCTGGTTATGACCCTTAAAGCACTAGATAGTTCAGGTCCAGGCTATTTGGCTGACCACATCCCCTTGTATGAATCTGCCCAGGCCCTGAGATGTTCAGGAGAGGCCCTTCTCCCGGTCCCACCTCCATCTCAAGCTTATTTGGTGAGAATAAGAGAGAGGGCCTTCTCTGTGGCTGCCTCTCAACTCTGGAACTCCCTGCCCTGGGAAGTCAGAATTCCCCCCTCCCTGATGTCATTCCTGCAGCAGGCTAAAACCTTTTTATTCAGGAAAGCAGGGTAATAATAATACATTTTCACAACTAAACATACATGTGGACTCTGGTTTCCAAAGGTGTCTGAGATAATCTGGCTGCACCATGCTGGATCTCAGCAGAATGTTTGCCTGTACACAATGATAAAGGAC